TCATCTTCATTAACTCGATTTCTAAGACATTTAGGTACGATAAGATTTAAGTCCTCGCCTGCAGCGCTGGTCTAATCAAGTGCGATCCACGCAACAGCGTTTGATTATCCAACAAATTGTAATACAGAATAAATTCTCTCCGCTAACGCCTCAGGGTTTGTATTAATAGTGTGTAACTATAATGGATACTAAGATCTGCACGCGATTTCGCCTACGCAAACTTTGTAACCGCATTTTTGTTCGTGATTTCCATGATAGGAATTCAGAGCATTTTGTTTGATGTTCAATTACGTGTTGTTTCTAGATTAAAAGCGTTACCTATCTAATCAGTAATCGCGTGAAATTTTCGCTTGTTATTTTGTAGTCTCGTGTTGCACATCAGATTATAACTGATTAGCAACGAAAACAAAAATGCATTTGACTTAATCAAGAATGTTAAGTGATTACAGACAGATGTTCAGAAATCTGATGATGATGAATCAATATTTAAAATAAAATCTTCTCCTTAGTTCACATTCACTGCAACTGGACTACCAAAGTAGTCCACTTTTTCAACTAGAATGTTCTTATTTTCTTGTTTATTGGCTGACGTATGCGCACTGAAAGTAATTAATCCCACAGGCAGATCTCGTGAATGTTTTAATAATAATGTACATATAAGATTAGCCTTACAGATCTGGGCTAGTTTTCTTACCATAATGGTTTTGCCCGCGGCCGTGATTGCGATGCGCAATTGTTTCAGCTTATATTCCTTTGTTGGAATTAACTTCTCTTGTTACAAACTGAATTATATCTTAAAGCTTAGCGTTAAAGCTGGCTTTAGCTAGTTCTTTGTGGAATTGTTAATCGTCTGTTATAAATAGCTGCGGACCTGTTTCGGTGACCGCATCTTAGGAGTGATTTTTGCTTCTATACGAAGGATAGCTTTCTCTGGCATTCTACTGATGAACTTTACAATATGATGTTTTTTTTGCGAACCATAGCTATTATTATTGGTTTTTGGTTCTAGCTTTCTTTAGAGTCTACCACTTTTAGTCATGTTTATTATAAATCCTTTACTCATACTACACTAAAATGCATAGCCGCAAAAATCCAATATTGTAAGCACTGTATCTGACCTACCAACGAACTCTAGCTACTGTTAGCTTATCAGTGTCGCTTATAAATAACAAGCAGTTAAGAAATTCCTGTCGAAACATGTCCGAATGACTATGTTCGTACATTACATACACATTACCTACCCATACATCCAATATATCATGGTCTCGCTTCCTATGACCTTTACCCACATTGGAAGATCAGTTTATACTGGTTATGCATAGCTTTATATGTAGCAGTTAGGATAAATGTATGAACGAACCGAATGAGATCATGAAGTAACTCTATATTGTGCTAGGTCATCTAGAAGCCCGCATCGTCATCAAATTCTTTAATGGCATTCATTGATATGAATTATTTAGGGCCTTGTTCTACGCTGAATGTTAATGGTGCTGTTTTGTATTGTTCATGATTGATCATAGTCCCTGTTCTTGTGCTTTGAATTATCTTAGTTGAAATGTTATTTGCTGAGTAGGTTCTTTGGCGAATTTCCACATTTTGGATTTTGTCGCGTTAAGAAACTCATAGAGCTCATTCCATCACTCGTTAGACGCAGTCTCTCTGTCGCGGAGAACCTAACTGGTTACCGGGGCTCCGGCTCGACGTGCAGGAGAAGGAACGGGATGGTTTTTAATCAGTAAGAGTCTGACACTCCCTCCCGCCTCACCTAGGCGGGAGTTGATTCGATGATTTCCCCCCCTTAAAAAAAAGACACAGTCTCTCTAAAAAGACAGAAGTTAGGGTGGTCCCGATCGTCGTGAAGAAGACGTGGTCGTTTCATCACTGGCAACACACAGTACACACTGGTTGTATAGGTACGTCCTGGTTTTCAGATACTGTGGGATTATTAAGGAGAAGATTTCACGTACCTCCCCGAACACTGCCCATTCGAGTTGGATTCTTTAGACGACCTCTTTAGTCTTTATCTAAGCTGTGTCTTGGAACTTTCTTTATTCTTTTGTTTTATTTTTGAATGTCTAAACGATTTAGGTTTCAGAATTTGTTTGCATTCTTACTTAATTGAATTCCCATACATTTGGAATTTTGGAATGCTGTTCTTCGGATAGCGGTGTTTATTTATATTCTAGTCTATTAGCATAGATTCTCACGGTACCAGGTCTGACTTTTGATATATAATTAATATATAGTTTTTTCTAATAAAAAAAATGAAATACCATTTCCTCAATACACATTTAAAATCAGCAGGTATTATTGATTAAAAATTTTATCCGTACGATATTCATATCATACGATACTCGCTTTTATACACTTCTTTCTTTGAACGCATACAAAACATAAAACCTTTAATAAAAATCCCATAAAAGCAGCTCCATTCTAAGAAATTAAACAACATTTACGCAAAAATGAACCTTAAAGGCAAGGCTTAAGTGTCAGATAAAGCCTAGATACAATGCCTACGTATCAATTGGAATATAACCAGACATATCAATTGTCGAAAACAATGACATTATGACACTTTATACGGCGCATTCAATCTAATAATGTAATGTGTCTGTCCTGTGTTCCTGGTAGCGTTGTATATGAACCTGGCGACTAGGCAGGTTATAACAGAAGGTTAATAACCGCGAGTACGCAGATTTTTGCAGAATGTCCATATTGAAGGATTTTGTTTGTAATGTTAATGTTAGCTTTTATGAGAATCGATTGAAGTAATTGCAAGTAGTTCTTGATCATGTATAGTGCAGTTGACATTCGAAAATGTTTGTTGCAAGATACACTAAAGATTATGACATTTTTAATCTTGCCACATAGTCAAAACTTGTACTAGAAATAAAACAATGGGCTCTTATTATAAAACTGAATAATATCTAGAACCGAAAAGCAGATCTTGGGTATACCAATGAAGGCATTGGTGACCAAAGACGGGTCTTTGGGGGGAAAACGTGCGCCGTCCAATCGCTGTCCAAACACACGAAAATCGTTAAATTCAAATAAAAATCTTTATCTTCGTTAAATATCATTTAATTATAAACTGCACGAATTATAAGAACGTTTATTAATGTTCTATACTGGATTGGAATTCATTACAGTGATAATTTGGACTCACAGAAGCGTGCGTGCTCTCAAGTTTTTATAACTCTCATACTATGCATGAACATAGTTATTATAGTAACAGCTATAAACATATAACAATATCGTGTGTGGGCTAATAAAATTCAAGAAATAACTGCCTCTAATTACACTGAGAAATCTTTATTAAAGTTAACTGTTTATCGGAAAATACTTACGACAAGACCAACTTAATTTCTTAATTAGTCTTGATGAAGTTATAATTATTATCAACTAGCTTTTACCCGCGGCTTCGCTCGCGTCACAAAAGGATAAAAAGTAACCTATGTGAGTTAAACCAATACATACAGCGCCATCTATACCAATACTTTTGTTTTCCCTCGGGAATATCAAATTTTTTCGGGATAAAAGTACCCTATTATTTAATCCAGACTACTAACTTTACGTCTGCAAAAATTCAATGCAATCGGTTTAGTAGTTACGGCGTGAAGTCGGAACAAACAAACAAACAAACTCATTTTCCGATTTATAATATTAGTAAGGATTTAGTGTTTTACGATAGATAGACGAATGTAAAAGTATAAACAGTCTAGTTTCCCGCAGTTTATAATGAGTTTTTTGTATAAAACGTTGCCCTACACTTCGTGTACCGTGGGGTTCTACTACCGTTTCTCGTGTACATGACACCCGGACCCGAAACAACAATTTGTGGATCACACGCGGCACGCTGCACAACAGCCAGTTGCCCAGCCACCGCTCCGACCGTGCAGTCAAAATCAAGTACTTTTTACTTTAAATCCGATTCTATCACAAAAATCCAAAAATTGTACAGAATTAAACTTCTACAAATATAAACTTAATACGGCAACAGTTCCACGCATTTTCTCAGAAATCATATTGCAACATAATGAATGTTTCAATTCGCAGTTTCCTAGTACATTTCGTTGATAACGTTCCGGTTAAAACCGGAGATAACATCGAGAGGGTGGGCGGTGATAAATGCATTTCAAGCTACCCCAAACCTGTCAATTAAATTCAATTGATTTTCGACTCTAGCAACAAATGTTACAGTTGATAATCTTTTAAAGTTTCGCGAGGAGCTGATAAGATTGATGTCTGTGATAAATGTCACCAGTTCAAACCCTGATGCTGAACATTGATCTGTTAGGGATAGTAGACTGGTAGTAGGTTATTATGATTTCATTGGAGATTAAGGGTTTCAGTGGCTTTGGGTGGGGATTAAGCAATATATCGTGTTATTTCTCTAAGTACCAAATTGTGTAATAGACTATTATCGTTAGACATTATAGTTTTTTTTATGGAAGAAACCGGTAAACGAGCCTACAGATCACCTGATGGTAAGCAATCGGCGCCGTCCATAGACACCCGAAATACGTTCTTCGGATTATGTGTTTATTTGTATTCTAGTCTATTAGCATAGATTCTCACGGTACCAGGTCTGACTTTTGATATATGTATAATTATTATATAGTTTTTTCTCTTATAAAAAAATTAAATACCATTTCCTCAATTAACATTTAAAATCGATAGGTATTATCGATTAAAAAAAATTATTTGTAGTACAAAAATGATACGATACATCACACTAACAGTCACAACCGTATCCACTAGGGACTATGATGAGTCACCTCTGCCTAAGAGGGTTTGCCAAATCTTCATACTTAGTTGGAGACCGCATTTAAAAACGTTTAGAATTGTCGGAAACTGCTGCTGCTCGGTCTGTTTGTGTAGTCTCTCAATTGTCAAATAACTTTTATGACACCCATTAGAAGAAGAAAAAGAAGGCTATTCTATTAGGGACCAATTTATTCCACTTTACACAAACTAACCACGACTTCTTTTAATTCCAGAAGGTCAGACAGTAGCCAGCGAACGAGGAGCGAACTACAACGGTGAGGTGTGGTTCAAAGCGGCCACCATCGCGGTGCCAGTCTGCGGCGCCCTGATCCTGTTCCTCCTAGTAGCCGTGGCTGTGAGGCTGCTGAAGGCAGATGCTCTCCTACATGCTGATAGGAAACTTAGGTTGGTATCTTTGGTTCTTTGTAGCGGAGAACCTAACGGGTTACCGGGGCTCCGGCTCGACGTGCAGGAGAAGGAACGGGGTGGTTTTTAGTCAGTAAGAGTCTGACACTCCCTCCCGTCGTCTCGTCTCACCCAGGCGGGAGCAGTCATTCGATGATTTTTCCCACTTAAAAAAATATCTTTGGTTTATGTATTTTTTATGTTTATGAGAAGGAATTATGGAGGAGATTTGAGAATTTTGAAATTGGGTTAGTCTTTTGAACAGTTTCTTATAGACACAAAATAAAAATTGGATGGTTAATATACAAGTATTTGTCTAAGATAGTCCTCTATCACGTCCTCTACCAGTCCTGGAATGACTTTTCATTACAAAAGACTCTTAAACTCGCTAAAAATCTCAGTCAAAACCCAAACTAAATGATTAAAAGACCAATAACTGCTGAACAATTACGTCATCAAGAAATTACTCTAACGAACTTTTTTCTCTATTTTCAGAGGCGGCTACATGTCACCCTTAGCTCAACATACGTCTGATGACGTCAAAAAAGTATGGGTGGGGACGCCAACCGCCCCCCTACTTGTGGCTCCTGGGGGGTGCCTGGTAGCGGTGGAAAGGGCCCAACTAGTCGACAGCCAACAACTCTGTGATATCCAACGATAGATGGCGCTAGGGAGAATCTCAATAGCGGGTTGTGCCGTGAAATGGAAGGACTTTAAACTTGTGAACCAAATGTGAAATGTCTTTTAGTGCAAATGCGTTTTTAAATGCTAATGTTGATAGAGTTCATTTTTCAATGTGGAGGTGGTGCATCAAACTCGTTCAGTGTAAATTGGTCTAGCATTGTATAAGATTTTTGCGCAATGAAAAGTCAATTTATATTTAAAAAAAAATATTGGATTATTTTGAAAGAAGAAGATATTTTATAATCTGTGTAGTTGTGAAAAATTATGAAGGTTGTAAAGTTTGATGTACCACAGATTAAAAATAAATAAATCATTACTGAACACATGTTGGGCTAAAATATGCTATCCTTATCTTTTTATACTTCCGAGACAGGGACAAATAGACAGCCAAGCATGTTACAAATAATGCTTATTTATTTTAAACCTTACATCTTTACAATTAAGAACGAATTTTATAAAAGTAGCTTTTAAAAATGAATTTGTTTTTCGACTAATTTTAAAAGGAATTTTAACTCTAGATTTTTGTCTAGTAACGGTTAATGGATAATACAATTTGGCTAAAACATCGACAATAAGACGGCACATAACAACCGTGCCATGCAAAATTGAACTTTATTGAATTTACTAAGTCTATTGTCAATTTTACTGTCGAGGTAAGCCAACAAAGACTGGAATTGAATAATTTACACTAAGAAGTCTTGGATGTTTGGAAATATCACTGTAAAAGGTTGTGCTTATACTGATTTCGAAATAAGAGTGAGTGTAAATTGGTTTGTATGTATGTATAGATATTAAAAAAAATGACTGATCGCCTGTCGCCACTATGGTGTTACTGTAAACTTTTGTACTGCATTTTGTTGACAATAACTATGAATATGCGTCGTTTTAAAGTCTATTTTTGTGTGGCTATTTATAGAACATACTGTAGGTATTGTTTTTCTTTCAGCCCTTGTTTCAAGCCTTCTGGAGTTGACACAATATGACTGTCTTCTTTTTCTATTCTCCTCTATCAACCATCCTATCTTTCATGATAACTTCCCTTATTTCTATAAGAATGAATTGCAAAATTATTTTATTGTCATTACAAGGCTTTATGCTTAGTGTGTTTATTACTGCAACCATTTTCATTTTATTAAATAATAATATTAGAAGAAACTCCCAAAATACAATACTGATCAACGTATAAAAGCGAAATTTTGTCAACAAAACGTAGTATACGGAAAAAATGCAGATCAAAAAACGTGGCTCGACGGGCAATACTTTTATGAATCTAATTTCGTAAAATTGATCTCAGATTTATACAATTAATTCCCCCACTGCACGGAACGACCCGCGGGTATACCAAATTTACCACATTGTATATTTAATTAATTAATTAATTTTTATTATAACTATAATATTTCTTTAATTAAGAGCTTTGTGTTCCTCTGTATCTTTGTAAATGTATCTTTTAGTTGTAAGCCGGTAACTTCTGTAACTTTTGAGTTACCAACCATGTGAAGTGAATTACCAAAACGTGACGTGACGCCATTTGTAAAAACGACCAACTGTCAAATGAAATGTCAATTATTGTTAACAGAAAAAAATGGAATGTTAATATTATAAATCAGTGGATTTTATAATGAAGTGTGTACAAGCGGCAATAATGAAATAAATGTAGGAAGATTTTTTTAGTTATTTATCACATTTTTAACTTCTGCGTGCATTTCCTTCTATAAAATAAAATAAGATAAAATGTAAATGATTTGTATTTTTGTAAATATAAAGTTAAGTTTGTTACCTGTTATCATGTTGTTAAGGACAGTTTCTGAACGTGAAATCCATTTGGAGTGCTCCTAGTCCTTTTTATCTGATTTTTTAGCATATACTTTACTGTGTACATTTTTTATGTTTACTCTGAATAGATTTCACTTGTGGTCGACTACTGTTATTTTTGAAATTTTTTGTTTAATTTTTTAATGTAAATATTTAGGTATGTATTGGGCGTATCATTATATACGATTTTGATTCTTATATCTAACGCACGCAGACATAATAAATCCTGTTATACTTCCTAATGTTCTAATAATTTGGTACAAAAAAATTGATAACTGAAAGTTTTTCTTACAAAATGGACCATATCAATGCAACACGCATAATATATAGTTACATACATACATACATACCTACATTCAAAGTGCGTTAGATATAATTAAACTTAATTACTACAGTCGATGGCAAAAATCGATATTACAACTCAAATATCGATTACAAAACGAAACATATTATATTCACAAATACATTAATTTAATATATTTTCTTTGATAGTTTATGACATCGATTTTTGTCACCGATTTCACCTCGATTTTCATTCTCGACCATAGCAAAGAGATTGTCAAATAAATGAATAAATACTTAAATAATATTGCTTCCCTAAGGTGCCTTACCTACTCTATAGTAAATAATAGGTGCAAGTAAATAAAATACTCCATTATGTAATAAATATATCAACTGTCTATGTAAATATAATGTATGTGTATAAATAAATGAATAAAATGAAATTATTTTATTACTGGATTTTTGTTTTTTTTTAACACTGTTACTCAAGAATCTTGCTATATCTTGAAATTTAGAAGTCCTAGCTAAAAAGTTACGAAATTTTCGAGACCCCCTCTAGAGGGACAGGGTCAAAATGACCTTGGCCTGCACAGGCCCATTTAGAAAATGGCAAACCTATGTCGACGACCGATACCTAATATTAATAAGTCTCGTTTAGGTTAGATTTGAAAATCTTGCAATATTTTGAAATCAAGAGATCCTAGCTCATAAATAACCAATATTTTATGCTCCACCTAAACCCCCGTAAGGACAAATTTTGGTAATTGAGGAACAAGGTCAAAATGACCTTGGCCTGCATGGGCCCATTTAGAAAATTTCAAACCTATGTCGACGTATGATAATATTGCAAGACGATGTCGAGATTTTGCAAGATATTCCCAGTTCCCCTCGAACACCATTCATGACCTGATTTGCTGTTCGAGGGGCAGATTTAAAGTGACCTAGCCACATACTGGAGAAGGGAAGGTCGAGATAGAGACAACTGGAGGAAGCTGGGGGAGGCCTACACCAAAGAGGCGACTTCCGCAATACATTAGTTGTATGTTTTAGTGATAACTATATTTATTTAAAAAAAAACAATACACCTACATAGTATATGCAAATAAATTAATGAAATTGAAATAATACATTATACTAAATTTAATAATTGGAATATTATGAGAATATTTTGTGGTAGAATAAAGGCTATATGGTTTGTGGTTGTCACAGATTATAACAGATGAATAAGTATAATTACTGTCAATAAAAACATTTTTAAACTTAGATAATGTCGTTATCACTGTAAGCCTATGACATGGGACTCGTAACATAAATACTGAAAAGTGGGTGTTACATTGTACAGTGGCATAATGTGCACCTCTGTCTGCCCCTTCGGGAAAAAAACGCGTGATGTTATGTGTATAATGTCGTTATTTACAAACTACTAGTCACCAGCCTTCATGACAGCAATTATTTAACGGAAATAATTCGACATTTACTTCTAATGTCCACTTCTAAAACTGATACAATCTTATCTATGAAACATCTTGCTCTAAATTCAATAAAATTATACGAATGTGAACTTTATGTCGAGTTACATAAGCACTACAAACATTAATTCGAACTAACATCAAAGAATACGAAAACAAGTCATAATTTAATAATTATTAATATTTGTGTATACATATTAATATTAAAAATTAATAATTAGGAGTGAGAGATATCTTATAAATAAGACGATTTGTAATAAAAAAATGCAGTTGTGTATTAGTCATTAAACAAATTGGATATTGGTAAGTTTGATTTTTTTACAATATTATTGTATTTTAGTAATGTTATTTCTATGACACCTTTTAATAATATTCATTCGTCCCTAAAACATGGGACATAGTGCTCTATGGGCATAGCACAAGACAACTGCAGCGGAGAACTTAACGGGTTACCGGGGCTCCGGTTCGAAGTGCAGGAGTAGGAACGTGGTGGTTTAGTCAGTAAGAGTCTGACACTCCCTCCCACCTCACTCAGGCGGGAGAAGTAATTCGATGATTTTCCCCCCTTAAACCACCCCGTTCCTACTTTTGCACTTCGAGCCGGAGCCCCGGTAACCCGTTAGGTTCTCCGCGACTCCGAGTCGGCATCAGCCCTGTTGGACCCCATTGGTGGTGGTCTGATGGCTCTTTGAGGCGCTCGCGGAACGCCATTATGCTACGTATGTGTAGAAAATAAAACACACAAATTAATAAGAATATTTTTATTTTAACTTACAAACATACAAACAATAGTCTTAGTAGTTGGAGGTAGGAGGTAGGAGGAGTTGAGTAAATTGTTAGGTAAAAACTTAACAATTAACTGAATGTTAATGTAAACCAAAATTAAATTAGAATCTGTATTCTTTTCTTTCTTTTTCTTTAGAAAAAACGTTGCCCCACATTAGGATTTTCTCCTGTATCGTGGGTGCGTTTACAAACATACAAGTTCACATACACAATGACACCTAGACCCGAAACAACAATTTGTGGATCACACAAAGTGTTGTTCCGTGCGGGAATCGAACCCGCGACACGTTGCACGGCAGCCGGTTGCCCAGCCACCGCACCAACCGTGCAATCATATTTTTAATAACCGTGTATTCATATTTTTAATCGCCGACTACTTAGGTACTTGTATGTGCATAACTCCCAAACCGCTCAACTAAATTAGATAAATAAAATTGCAATAAGATAAATATTTAGCTTTACCTAACAAAACAAAACATAACTCTACTACAGTGAAGTAATAAATACCAATTAAGTGTCTTATATCAATGTCATTAATAAACCCAATAACAACGAGTTTCTATACTTCTATAATTTAATATGAACAGAATGAATTGTTCAAGGCACACTGCAGTTGCATAGTAGGTGCCTATACCAAAGTATAAAGATATGCTTTAAGAATAATATCTATTAATTCAATGCGCAGATAATGTTCGTCCCAATTGCCCTTGAATGCATTTTATATGCTTATCACGTAATGTCGCTAAGCTAGGTTTTAATACTGGTTTTGTCCTGGTCAAATTAGAATGTTTATAGGTCTTTATATTACCTATGTAATCAAGGATTCAAGGACCACTCCTTGAAAATTTGGTGTATTTTTTTTGTAGCATATTCCGATAAACGAGCCGACGGATCACCTGATGGTAAGCAAGGCTTTTTGGGAATTGGGAATTTGAGGATTGTGGAGGATTCGGGGATTCGGGAGACTAGGGATTGGGCCTCCGGTAACCTCACTCACACGACGAAACACAACGCAAGAGTTGTTTCACGTCTGTTTTCTGTGAGGCCGTGGTATCACTCCGGTCGAGCCGGCCCATTCGTGCCGAAGCATGGCTCTCCCACACTTAAAAAGTGTGTTTCCTATTTTATGCCAGTTATGTTATGAGTACCATTCTGGGCCTCACAACAACCCATATAATTTTAGACTCTCTGCTATTTCATAATAAATTAGAATTTCGGAAAGTGCAATAATATTTGATCAATACAGGGTCTGAATCAGAGAATCTTTGCTCGGTTACCATGGCGTATGCTAGCATTTGTCCAAGAAGAAATGTAATAGTATATGTATAAGTTAATAATTAAAAAATTTCATAAACTTGACGATCAAACAGACTAAACGTTTCGTTACTTGTATCGATCTTAATGGCAGTCTCAAAGGTAAATCAACCTAGAATTGTATTCTATAATTAGTAGACCTACTTTTAACAATATCAGCTATAAATTGAATTCAATGTAAATGCGGAATGCATAAATATTTTAAGTTTAATACAGCATCGATCATCTATCCTTTTAATGAAAAATAATACAAATAGCGCCTGTAATTTATTTCAGAGCAATATGACGAAAGGAAAGAATAGTCAGAAGCGAACGGAAGGGAAAGTGTTGAATTTTGATCATATCGTGTTTTGGGTGGCCAATGCTAAAACTGTAAGTACCTATTATATTATTTATTAAAATAAATGGTAATACACACATAATATTTGATTTCCTTTCATCCATTAACGGCAGTTGTATACTGGTGTAGTGTCTATTATCTAGTGTTAAGGAGATAATTAAACTAATATACTAACGGTAAAAAGTGTATATCAACATTTGATATAACATGGGCGTAGTCGAGGTGGGTCAGGGCGGGGCACTTGCCCAACCCTAGCTCAGACTAAGAGTGCCTACCCAGACTTAAAAAAATTATTGTTTAGTATTTACAATAAATTATATACTCCACAGTTGTTAGTTAACCAACCTAAAACTGCTCGTATATGTATAGTTTACCAGTTACATATTTTATTAAACTTGCCCCACCCTGAGCTCCTGGCTGGCTATGCTCATATATCAAAGTATAAAATACCTATCTAAATAATTCTACAATTAACACAAATAAATCAATTTACAGTGGCACATTCTATTTTCCAGGCGTCATCCTATTTCACAACACGACTTGGATTCAGACCTCTTGCAGTACGGGACGCAACAGAAAACAGGCCCGTGCAATCGTATGCTGTAAGGTCAAATCAGGTATGAAAATGAGCCTCACTCTCTTTTTGACCTTATTGTGAACTTATCCTTACTGATATTATAAATGGGAAAGTGAGTTTGTTTGTTTGTTCCGCTTTCACGCCGTAACTACTAAACCGATTGCTTTGAATTTTTGCAGACGTAAAGTTAGAAGTCCGGATTAAATAATAGGGTTTTATCCCGGAAAAATTTGATATTCCCGAGGGAAAACAAAAGTATTGGTATAGATGGCGGTGTATGTATTGGTATATGTCACATAGGCTACTTTTTATCCTTTTGTGACGCGTGCAAAGCCGCGGGTAAAAGCTAGTAACTATATAAGTTCCATGTGAAAGGGTGTTTCTTCAAAGAACTTTAAGTTTCATTTAATAAATCATTATCCTCCGGCGTTGTTAAGAATCGCAGTAACTTATTAGTATCTGTATTTTATTGGATTGGGTGAGAGCAATGACACGGCTCAAATTTTTGAAACTGAACCAGATATAGAGGCAAAATTAGAAGTATTCCTAGTAAGTCTGCCTTAATGAGTAAGAGTGTTTTTTGCATGTTATCCAAGATATACAACAAACTGCCATGTTGTATTTCAGAAATTGGGAACCTCAACTTGTTTAAACTGAAATTAAAAGAATTTCTTAATAACAAAGTGTACTATACTGTAAAAGATTATCTTGAGGGGAATCCTTATGGTCAATAATTAATTTAATTTATTTGACATTGCTTGTGTGACATTCTATAATATAATTGGCAATTACTTTTTTACATTATATATCTAATTTGACATTAATTTTTTGACTTCAGTGGTATGAATAATTATAATTTCTTTGACATTATTGTATTCTAAATAATTCAATTCAATGGACCTAATTTTATTATGTAATTATTTTTAAAACATATCTTTGCATGCCAAGTTAAGGCAAAATATGGAGAAACTATAAACTTTGTTAACACCTATACATTATGTACCCATGTTTGCAAATGATTAAATGAATATGAATATGAATATGCACCTTGTATTTTAATTAGCAGAATGGCTAACTTTGGCTTAAGTATTTTTTGTAGAATCACCCGAAAACATGGGCGAGAATATTATCATTCCTATTCCTTAATCAGGGGGACCATTCCATGTCCGCGCTTCTATTGAGAATTTTCGAAAACAAAAAGTCACAAAAATGTCCAGACAGTACCAAATTCATATTCAACCTATTTTTCACTAGGTATAACTCAATCTTATGTTACTAGCGACCTGCCCCGTCTTCGTACGGTTCCAATAATATGCATGTAATATACATATAAACCTTCCTTAAGAATCACTCTATCTATTAAAAAAACCGCATCAAAATCCGTTGCGTACTTTTAAAGATATACACAGACAGACGGCGGATAGCGACTTTGTTTTTATACTATGTAGTGATACATATAAAACTTAAGGGTTTTTTTTGTTTGTTTTAACGCGCTATTCTAATCAAATCAAATCACTTTAATGCATCTATAGTGTGTACAGGATGGTTTACAATTTTTTTGTTTTTTGATATAATGTGTTCCAACTATAGACCATTTTGGGCACCGCCAAAGTACTTACTCTAGAAAATAATAGGAATATAAAATAATTAAATAATTTAAAAAAATGAAATAAATAATTCTCAGGAACCACTGGTACGATTTGAAAAATTCTTTTTGTGTTGTATAGCCCCTTTATCGAGGCTATAAAACATTACGTTACAATCATTAATTACGTATTAATTACGTAATTGGTAATCTTATGTACTCAAAGATTTTAAGGAAATCAGTAGCCAGTCTTACATAATTCAACTCTGGACCGATTAACCTTTCTGACAGAAACTCAATAAAACATCACGGCTTATATCCCCGAAGGGGTAGGCAGAGGTGCACGTTACGGCACTTAATGCCACTGTACGATGTAACAGCCACTTTTCGCTATTTATGTTATGAGTCCCATGTAATAGGGGGTGAGCCTATTGCCATATACCGGACACAATTCCAGACTCCGTGCAACCACTGAGAATTTTTTTAAAACCCACTTACACTAACGGCCGTTCCCAATATTCTAAAAAATCTATCTATCTTTAAATTTGCCGTCTCAATAAACTTACTGGCGATAGGCAAACTAATCTATGCTTATCATTACCTGTGGGAGGACGGATAGGTTATCTACAGCCTGGCCAGCATCTGGCCATATATGATTTTCTCAAAATAATTATGAATTGTGTTGACAATAAAATACCTATTTGCGCTCTATATATGGACATGACCAGGGCATTTGATTATGTCGATCATAATATATTAATAGATAAATTGGAAAGGTACGGGGTACGCGGAAAGGGGTTGGAACTATTGGCATCTTACTTAAATAACCGGCAACAATACACTGAAATAGTAAATATTGACATAAAAGCCAAAAAAGAAATTAAATACTGTTCTCAGTCAAGAAAGATTAAGTACGGGGTTCCGCAAGGAAGTGTACTAGGGCCCTTGTTATTTTTAATTTACATTAATGACCTTCCAAAACACCTTAGTCACCCAACTGTACTGTTTGCTGATGATAGCACGATAATTATTAAGTCAGATAAATCTTACAATTATGAACAAGAAGTAAACAATATTCTAAAACAGACAATAACGTGGTTAGAATCTAATAATTTACATATAAATCTAGGAAAAACATATTTAATGCATTTCTATCAGCGTCAATTACCACCACAACTAAATATTAATTACAATGGCTCGACGAATACAGAAGTGAATACTACCAGATTCTTGGGTTTAGTGATCGATAGCAATTTAACTTGGAAACCGCATATCGAATCGGTGTGTAAGAAAATAAACAGTTTTGCATATGCTCTTTATAAATTATCACGTTCAGCTAACCAGGAGACAGTGATCACCGCTTATCATAGTTACGTGGAATCTATACTAGGTATGGGCTGATTTTTTGGGGTAACTCCACCGATAAAAATGACATATTCATAGCACAAAAAAGATGTGTACGCGCTATACGTGGCCTACGTCCTAGGGACAGTTGTAAGCCACACTTTCAAGACTTAAAACTGTTAACGTTTCCATGTTTATTTATTTACGAAGTAGCCACCTTTGTTAAATGTAACAGATGTCTATTTGAATTAAAGCCCCCACGCGATTCCAGGCTGAGGCAAAAGGATACTGGTGACCTTCAAGTAGTACACGGTAATACAGCGCTTTTTAGTAAGAGTATTTTCAGGGTTGCTGCACAAATATATAATAGATTACCTAAGGAAATCAAAGCACTAGACTTACCTCTTTTCAAAAAACTAAGGCAGTTTTTAATAACTAAATGTTATTATAATTTAACCGAATTTATGACTGATGACAGAGGAAATTTATAATGTTAACAATGAAGATTTTTATTGTTTCCTTAAGTTAATGTAATTATTTGGTTACTTAAATGTTATTATAGTTTAATTGAGTATACGGCTGATAGAGTAAATTTTCAACACAAATAATAGTTTTATTAAAACTTGATGTTAATATTAATTTAGTTTGTAATTAGGTGTATTATGTTCCATAATGTAGACAGAGAAGATTATTGTCTGTAAACACACTAGATTAAGAACATACTATAAAAATTTTGTATGTCTGTACAGACACAATGTGGCGCACTACCATAATATTATCTACCATCTATTGTAACATACCTACATTGACGAAATAAACAATATTTGTATTTATTTGTATTTGTATTTGTATTTGTACAGATTGCTTTTACTATGAAATTGACAGTTCACGCGTTCCAATAATAACAAAGGTGCTATCTATCTATCAACGGCCGGTACTTACAGTACTTTGTCCGATCTGGGAATCAAATCAATAAAACTAATATAAAAAACATTGAAGAATTTTGGCTATAATAGATCTTACATTTTTCCCAATAGATTACCCTTATATTCGAGTCACCGACTTCTCAAGGCGGAGAAATATCAAAGGATTTGATAGCTCATGGTGACTTCGTGAAGGACGTGGCTTTTGAAGTCCAGGATCTCGATGAACTGGTCCGCAAAGCCAAGGAAGGTGGTGCTGAGGTAATCAAGGGGATCACAGAGGAGAAGGATAAACATGGAAGCTTGAGATACGCTGTGCTTAAAACGGTGAGTTAATCTTAATACGGGTTCGACAAGAATGGTTAATGGTTACAATCAATTATAACGAAATGGAAATTTTAAGAAATAGATGGGTACCTATGTGAAAATAAAAATAAAACTAGAACTTTGTTTTAGACGCTTCAAAAAGTCTATAGGTCTGTCATCAATCACTAATCACATAGTATTTTTTTGAATGACATTAATTAGTTACCTATGTACCTACATACATGTTTATACATAACTTCACGCCTGTCTCCCATGGAGGTAGGCAAAGACTAGGGCACGCCAATTACTACGATTCCTACATAGGTACGTCTTTCGCTTCATCATCAACAGTCATCAATCTTTTCATGCATTCTTATCGGTTAAGGGTACTTTTAATTTGGCTCTTCTTTAATATATCGCCGATCTGGTCACTATATGTCCGTCTAGGGCGCCACTTACCGACGGCCCCATTCATATCCGCTCTGTATACTTCTTTCGTTACTCTACTTTCATCCATCCTTCCTACATGTCCAAACCAGCGTAACAGTTATGTAATTATTAAAACTGTATTAAATATTTTTTGATAGTATGGCGACAACACTCACACGCTCATAGACCGTAGTAAGTATAAAGGAGTGCTATGGCCAGGATTCGAACCTGTGGAGAATGATATTCTTAACAAAACACTGTAAGTATATTTATGTCATAACATCGTAAATACTACAACATAAGCTATGCATCGTAATTAATAATAACCGGAGTTTTAATCCTCAATGTTACGGAATATAGAAATAATACAATCTATATTCCGTGCTCAATGTCATGGCGCTCGCAGCGCTCTGTACTTTAATTACTTATTGTGTCACTAGATGGCTCTGTACTAAAAATGTTCTGGAACTTTAATACGTAAAAATACCTATACTTCATATTAATAACACAAATATATTAAAAATAGTACAAAAATACAGGTATAATAATAATCATACACTCATTTAAATATTTTGACCGTTTATTGACTAGTTTTCTTTGTTTTACTTGCAGACCTGCGACTAATTTGATGTTCATAGACCATGTCGAAGGTAATATGGCTGATGGAACACTCGAAGATTCTGTTACTTGGTACGAAAAGAATCTCAACATGCATAGGTGAGATATAAAAATAATATTACCTAAAACTTTTAACCAAGTCATAATGATTTTCTGCAATATAATTACCTGATAGGTATTATTATTATGTCATTATTCGCTATTATTTTTCACAGATTCTGGTGTGTAGACTACAAACACGATATAGTTCCATATTCCTGTATCAACTCCGCATCTGTCATCAACAGAGATGAAAACGTCCTTGTGAGTATTACAAAGTACAATCACTGCGGAGGGGATAACCTGTGCTGGTAGTAACGCCAAGTAACCGATAGATGACACTATGCCGTGACGTCATTTTCTGAATCGCGGTGTTAAGATTCTCCGCGAATGAATGACCCTCCCCGGTATTTGTTACTACGGCATCGCTTCTCGGCCTTTTGGCTAAGATCAAAGTGTAGTATCTGTTCTTTTCAGCTTAATATCTGAAAGTTCCCTCACTGAGGGACCAGTATATTAAACTGATTTTTGTAAACTGACGGGATGTTCGGGGCTCGCTCCACTCCCGTCACGGGTCGGCCCGGCATTGCAGTGCCGCCGGGATCGGCCCACAGATATACTAGACAATCGTCTTAATTAATAGACTAATCAACCGATTATCTTAAATGGCACTTAAGTGTTAAAACATGATTGTGTGTAAATTAAACCCATTATGTATTGCATGTTTGATGTCACGGACACGGGACAGTAAATCATTGAAACGATAGTAAAACAATGTTACTCTAATGGTTTTTAACAATAAGATGACAGTTAAAACCACAGATTACTTAATAGTTACTATGTAAGTTAAAACCTCTATAGTGGTTTGACATTTTGCGATAAAATAAATAAATCACAGTTTTATTATTATTGGCAACAATTTTTTTTTAGCTTTCTATGAATGAAGCGGCAAAAGGGTTAAGGCCTACGAGTAAAGCGACTGAATTCGTGAAAGCTCTTGGCACTTCAGGAGTGGAACACATTGCTTTGTACACGGATGATATCGTTGCAACCGTAAGTAAAAGGAAATACATACATAAACTAAACTAACTTATTTTTTTATTATTTTCCTCCCATTGGGGTAGATAATTCTACAAAGCGCCATCTAACTCATACACGCACAGATAAATACACCACTGACATTTTAATGTTTCAATCATTTCTAACTGACATTATATCAGGCTTTTTTTCAACTTCCTTGGAGTTCAGCGTACCTTCTTAACTATTACTTTATTACCGAAGACAACATTTTCTTCTTCTTCTTTGATTTTAAACAAAATTTCTTCTAAGAACTACCTCGTTAGCCGAGTAGTCGCAAGTGCGACTGATGAGTAAGGGACTCGGGTTCGATTCCCGAGTCGGGCAAAGTTTTACTGGGTTTTTCTCAGTAGTAGCACGGAGTCTGGAATTGTGCCCGGTATATGACAATAGACAATACATGGGACTCATAACATAAATAGTAAAAAGTGGGTGTTACATTGTACAGTGGCATTAAGTGTCATAATGTACACCTCTGCCTAACCCTTCGGGGATAAAAGGCGTGATGTTATGTTATGTCTATTAATAACCACACATTTTCTCAACTTTCCTTTCAGATGCGTAATTTGAAAGCCCGTGGAGCCGACATACTGTCATGGCCGCCGACTTACTACGATTTAATTAGAGAGAAACTAAAGCACAGTTCTTTGAAAGTCGCTGAGAGTATTGAAGAGTTACAGGAACAGAATATTCTGATCGACTTCGATGAACGAGGGTATATGCTGCAGGCATTCACCAAGCATATCCAAGCAAGACCGACTGTGTTCATTGAAATATTACAAAGAAGGAATCATAGGGTTTGTAGTGCCATAGTTTTATGTAATTGTAATGTGTTTTACTAAGATTATTAATATTTAGACACTACTGACAAACAGTGCCGGCGTAAGGGCCACTGACACCCCGGGTGAAGATATTGGAGCGCCCACGGGAAGCAATATCAAGTCTTAGATTTTTGCTGATCCCAAGTAAAATTATATTAAGAATTTCATCTTTCCTTTAGCGTTACCCAGAGCTAACGACGCGGACAACAAACCCTCAAAAATACCATCTAAAAAAAATCTCAATAAAAAATATGCTTTAGGGAACAGAGAGTATAGTTCCCTAAGATCGGAAAAGGAGGATCCTCCGACCAGGCGAGGTGATCGTGCCTGGCGGGCTTTCTGCCCAACAGTTGTTCGTTGGGATTTTCTATCCGTTTTAAATCGAATGTAAACTTTGCATGTGCGATGTAGGATTCTTGTGACGTCATCCGTTGACATGTGGCATGCGTCGCCACAATGCATATGCACAGAGCGTAGAGCACAGTTCTCAGGGTTTGCACCAGGAGAGGCAAGAGACTCCAACTTCAGACCTTGGCGCCCCCCAGTATTTGTCGCCCTGGGCGGCCCAGGGCGACAAAGGCTGGGCCATCACCCCATCACAATATTTTTTTAATTATAAGGATTGATTGAAATAAATGCTTCGACGTTGACTAGTTTTCTTCATAACTTAGGTAATAGTAACTTAGTATTAGGACACAAATATATAAAGTTTTAATTTAATTCTAGGGCTTCGGCGCTATGAACTACAAATGGGTGTTCGAAGCGATCGAGAGGCTGGAGAACAAAGAAATTAAGAGTGACCACACTGAAGACGTCAAGAAGAATGATGCTGCTTAAATAAATATATAACATACCTAATACTTAATTAACTAAAATCGCGGGTTACTCACGTGAATATACTGAGAGAAGCTCTACTAGTTTCGCGCACGCTGCTCATGAGGAAGAACCCCTCTGTCACAGAGGGGTTCTAGGAGCTCTACAGAGCCTCTGTGGTTCGAAACTAGTAGAGCTTTTCTCAGTATATTCACGTGAGTAACCCGCGATTTTAGTAAATAATTTAGTATGTCTCACGATAGTTATTATAAAATATACCTAATACTTATTACATATACCTACATGGCTACACGTTTATATACAAACTAGCTGTTGCCCGCTACTTCGTCCGCGTAGAATATGAATTTTAGAACATAACTTCTTTTTCGTTGCAATTTTCCAAAATATAAGTAGCCTATGTTACTCCTTATTACATCAGCTACCTGCCAATAAAAGTCTTGCAAAATGGGTCCAGCCATTCCAGAGATTAGTCAGTACAAACAGACAGACAAAACCACCGAACAAAATCGTAAAAAAAAATATGTTGGTATGTGTATCTTGTCTTGTGTAAGTATATTCATATGCATGCAGTAAAAAACGGTTTTAATATAACAAACAGACACTCTAATTTTATTTATCCGTATATTAATATTGGTTATATTTCAACAATGTATAAAAATTAAGTACATATATTGATTTATTTAATAAATATATTGTCTCTGAACTGAGAATTTTTATTAAGCAGATTTGAACCATGTCCTTGTTCCTTTCATTTTTGTGGAGAAGAACGAGCTAAGTATAAAGATAAAGATTAAAATAAGATAGGGAATAATATTTAAAATGGATTACAATTATTCTGGTTTTAGTTATTGAAACGCATAAAACCTTTAAAATACTACCTATAATAACCTTGTACAGTGACAGTAAAGTTTCAAGGATATTATTATATTTTATTTTGTACAATAACGTGAATATGACATACTCAAACGCTACTTAATTTTAAATCGCGTTTAATAAATCTATAGTTCTGTCTCTACAAATTCTTTGTAAAATGACAGAGACAGCACGATATTTAGGTACCTACAACTGAAAATTGAGTAGGTTTTTTTAAGGGGTGAAAATCATCGAATGACTGCTCCCGCCTGGGTAAGGCGGGTCAGACTTACTGACTAAAAACCACCCCGTTCCTTCTCCTGCACGTCGAGCCCGGAGCCCCGGCAACCCGTTAGGTTCTCCGCGACTCTGAATCGGCATCAGCCCTGTTGGGCCCCATCCGTGAAATTGAGTAGGTAGACTTTCAATATTCGGGCGTATGCCTATTAAGGTACCAACGACCCTATTCTTAATGTAAGACAAGTGGGACTTTGAGAAAACTCCTCTGTTTCTTTTTCACAGTGTTCACGCCTTGTTAGGCGTGCCACGAACAGATTTTGATGAAATGAAGTACAGACATAGACAAATCTAATAAGTGATAGGCCAATAAAACATGGGGTTTTTAAGTTTTTATAACAATAATATAACAATCATTTATTTTAGACCATGTCCATATTCCTGTTAGTTTCTATGAGAACATAACGGGTAACCGGGGCTCCGGCTCGACATGCAGGAGAAGGAACGGGGTGGTTTTTAGTCAGTAAGAGTCTGACATTCCCTCCCGCCTCACCCAGGCGGGAGCAGTCATTCGATGACTTTCCTCCCTTAAAAAAAAATCCTGCAACGTGCCTGCAACACAGCAATCTGTTTATAAAACATTTAGCCGCATTCTTGGCTGACTCATTGTTTGAGTGTGACATATTGCATTGAAGAGAAGTATCCAATGAATTTAACGTTTTTAATTTTTGAACTAGACTAACATAAATATTAGGCCCAATCCATTTTTTTATGGTATAAAAGGCAAACGAGCAGACGGATCACCTGATGGTAAGCGATCAGCGCCGCCCATGGACACCCGCAACACCAGAGGAGTCACAGGTGCGTTGCCGGCCTTTTAAAAAAGAATACGCTCTTTTCTTGAAGGTTTGAAGGTCGTATCGGTTCGGAAATACCGCCGACGACAGATCATTCCATCCCTTTAAAAGTTTCAAACCAACTGCAATTTATTTACTTTTTGGTATTTTTATTCACAAAAAACACATTTAAAATGTCATGGATGATGGAAAATTCTAGAATACGTTAAAGAAAACATATATTGCACAATATTTTGTAATATGGAATTTATGTCTGATATTTAAATTGTCGACCGACTGGTACCGGACTCGGCTTCAGACTGACGTGGGGTGGAGACTGCGACACTAAATAAATATATTCGAACGGTGTTCATATAAATGCGGATACATACAATATTGAGAAACTGTTTGTATGCAATATTGTTTATATTTTTTATGTTATGTTGTTTTGGTTGGTGGTGATGGTGGCTGTATGTATGTGATGAAGATCGAGTTGTTTAAAAAACTTTAGTAAATTTCTTCTTTACATTTTTTATGTGGTAATATTTAAGTGTTAATCAGAAGTTCAATAAATGTAATTTTTGGCGCAAGTAGAGCTAATTTCATTGACATTTTTATCGTAAAAAAATTGTAAAGTATAATTTTATCCAAATGATGAAAATAAATATATTAAAGCAGATGTTAAATAAGACGAAAAAGTAAAATTTACAATGCATATTGACTAACATAGGTTCCATTATAAGTATAGCAACGTTATACTGTAAAAAAACATCAAATTTTCCAGTCAATTATGAAGAAATTTTCTTACTTTTCAATTGGAAAACGGTAGATTCTACACTGTTAGTAGGTGACTGGGTATAACATGACGCTTCACCCCGCCTCTGTGCTAAACTTGCTTCGAAATCCAGTTTTCTATATCCAATCACATTTACATTTTGTTTATCGCGTGATTTGCGCAGTGGGCTACACTTGTCACGATGCTGGATAAAATTGTAAAAATATTGTGTAAACATTGTTTTGTTTTGCATTATGAATTCCAATTTGTAAACAAGGTCTTAGATTGTTGTTTTGTTTGTAAACAAATGACGTTCGTCATGGTTATGTGATACGTAGTTACTACGTATGGTTTCTAATAGATATTACTATGTAGATATTTCTGTTTTCATCTACGTAAAAGGAAAAGCGTAACTAGAGTTCAGACCAGACTGATATTATAATTAAAATATCTTACACAATGCACACGCCTTCTCATTTTTTAAAACAAAGCTAATATTGAAAGATATATTAGCTGTAATATGGGGAATAATCGCATTATACCTACAAATCCAAAACTACATTTGGAACAGCAGTAATTATTTAGGAAGGAGAACCATGCTTCGGCACGATTGGACCGGTTCAACCGGAGTGATCCATGACCATGGCCTCATAGAAAATCGACGTGAAACAACACTTTCGTGAAACAACAACCAACCAACGAAGTTACCGGAGGCCCAATTACCCTTCTACCCCAATCCCAGTAATACCTGACACGCCTGAAACCCCAACAATCCTCAAATTCCTAATCCAAAGAAGGCTGGTAACGCACTTGAAATGCCTCTGATGTTTCGGGTATTCATCATGGGCGGCGCCGATTGCTTACCATCAGGCAAACGAGCAGAAGCTCGTTTACTGGCTCATCGCATAAAAGAGAAAAAAGGACCAGTAAAAAGTATGAATTACAAGTTATAAAAAATGACGGTATCAATTTGTGACATCAGCTACCGTAGTTTTCTCGCAAAATTAATTACAAAGATAGTAGGTACAATAATGGATTTAAAGTATAATAGCGTCATTAGTAGAAACAATTTATTTTTAAATGAGAAAAGATTTTAATTGTAAGCATAGGTTACTATTCTAATTACACACAGAAGAAGCAACCCACGGCACAACAAGGTACCCTAAGCTGTACAATTAATTGAACAGATTTTCAACTTTATCACAAAGAACTAGAGTTGGTAATTAATATGAGAAATTCGTTAGTTAAGAGGTTACGAATCAAGCGGCGTACATCTACGTCATGCCATAATTTAATGAAATTATAATGTTAATATTACAATTGTAACTGGGTGAAACCGAATGTGAGTAATTTTGAAGATTTTTGAAAAGTTTTGTCTAGATATTAAGTTTGAAGACACTGTGCAGCGGAGGCTCGCCCGCAACTAGTTGGGGACGAAGTGACCGTCAGTGACGGATAGTTAGGCCTCGTTCACACTGTTGATATAACTGTTTTTTTAAGGGGGAAAATCATCGAATGACTGCTCCCGCCTGGGTGAGGCGAGAGGGAGTGTCAGACTCTTACTGACTAAAAACCACCCCGTTCCTACTCCTGCACTTCGAGCCGGAGCCCCGGTAACCCGTTAGGTTCTCCGCGACTCCGTATCGGCATCAGCCCTATTAGGCCACATCCGTGGTGGCTGATATAACACTAGGGGGTCTAAAACAAGATTTTTTGAAAGAATTGATTTGCATTCGTTATTTCTTCTTATAAATATCTTAATAATGGATATAAGAGTTATAGGAAGCACGAATATCAGATAAATATTGGAATGAGCAGTAGCTTCACTTTTAACTTTTTTGTTGACGTTCAAAAGTGCCTTTCTGTTCTAATTAAAATAAAAGATTTAAACTTTTTTAACTATTCTGCAAAAAAGAAATTAACGATCTTAATTTGTTTTTTTGGTAAATAGATTGACGAGTCTAGGTTACAGAAGTCAATATTTTAAGAATCACAATCATTATTATCATCAATAAAGGGTTGCCAGGGCTCCGGCTCGAAGCAGGTATAGAAACGCGGAGGTCTAAGTCAGTAGGAGTCTGACACTCCCTCTCGCCTCACCCATTGCGGCGAAGTCATTGGATGGTTTGATGGATGGATGATGGTCAAAAAAGGCTTCACCCAATGAGTTCCACTGACATTCCCTCTCGCCTCACCCATTGCGGCGAAGTCAAAAAGGCCTCACGAAATGAGTTCCACATAGGCCGGTTGGAAGCCACCTTCTTTATTTTTTTAGAAATATCCTTTTAAAATAAACAGATAAGCATAAGTATCACAGAACCTCATTAGATGACCATGTCGAGAGATATCACCATCGCAAAGGGTAATTTTTTTAACGAATATTTTTTTTTACCCTCTGTGATATGTGTGAACACAGCTTTACACTAGTCTTGTTTTCACATAAACTTTATTATAGGAATTGGTATAATCTCGTTTCAATATAAGCGGTCGCAGGTAGAGCTACGTTTTAGTTGAAACACTGCCTTTCGTGAAACACATTGTCGTTCAGTGTCGAGCATTTTTCATTGCGTTTCTACCGTGATTATGGTATGTACCTAAAAATTATAAAAATAGATATTATTCGTATTATGTAATCGTTATTGCTATCTTAGTGGATCTATTATTATCTCGTTACATATTCTATTGTTTAATTTAAACAAGATTTTTTTCGTGTAGTTAATTATTCAAAAAATATTTAATTGTTTGAAGCAGTAGTATTGTTGAATTTGCGCTCTTCATATAATATTTTCTTTACTTCAGTCGACTTCAATTAATTGGCGATACCGATTATAATTGGATTAAGTAACACAATTACCTATTATTATATTGTTTTGTATAACAAAGTGTTTAAAATATTCCCTTTTTTAGTTGGAACTACTTAATTGATGAACAGTAAGTTGTTATCTAATAAGATGTTAACACTGTTTGCATCTTCGAGCAATGAAGGAAAGAATGAAAACATCAATCGAAATTGCCATGCTTTTATAATATCCATCGTGAGACTTACCAAATTAACTGAAATTCTGTGGTTCGAAACTAGTAAAGCTTTTCTCAGTATATTCACGTGAGTAACCCGCGAGTTTTAGTTAAGGAAACTGCGATGTTATTTTGTTGTTGAAGTACCAATAGATATCTAATGAGTATAGGTAATCTATTTTATCACAAATATTTTAAAAAGTATCCCAAAACGTCACAATGCTTTTTAAAGGACCAGTTTACCTGTCCTCCCTTATTAAACAGCCCTTTTTATAAGTAAAGGTAAATTAATGACATTCTTAATTACCTTTGGAGACCGATATCTTAGTAACATCGTTCGGACGAGACAACATTCTGGAAAGATCAAAGATAACGTTAAGTGGTTCTCAATCGGAGCGGAGGATTTAACGGGTTGCCGGGGCTCCGGCTCGAAGTGCAGGAGTAGGAACGGGGTGGTTTTTAGTCAGTATGATTCTGACACTCCCTCTCGCCTCACCCAGGCGAGAAGACATTAGATGATTTTACACCTCAAAAAAAAGTGGTTCTCAATCGTATGGACCAAATAAATGGTTAGATATACTTAGTACAAAGTTATGTAATATACCTACTTGGGCTGAGTAGTAACAGCAGTATAGCTATTTTCGCGGGTGCTTAGGAATTGCATACCTATTGACGGAGGATGGCAATATGACTATGAAAAAAATGAATCTAATAAAGAGCTATCTCCAATTCCTCTGCCAAGCGTAAAGAGCATGGTCATTGATCACTATGGACTATCAAGGGCTTTCAATGTCCCGAGCGTATGGCGCGTCGCATTCCACGCGCGCCTCGATGAGCCATCAGACCACCACAGATGGGGCCCAATAGGGCTGATGCAGATACGGAGCCGCGGAAGACTTAACGGGTTGCCGGGGCTCCAGCACGAAGTGCAGGAGTAGGAACGGGGTGGTTTTTAGTCAGTAAGAGTCTGACACTCCCTTTCGCCTCACCCGGGCGGGAGAATTCATTGGATGATTTTCCCCCCTCAAAAAAAGGGCTGTTAATGTATTAGAATTTGGTTTTTTTGCGTCATGATTAATTCAAAAAGTTAATAATACTTATCTTTCTTTCTCAGACCTCTTACACTGACAAGGGAAGGAAACCAGAAGACGGCCGCTTCTTAGCTTTTGATCATCTTACTTTCTGGGTGTCCAATGCTAAACAGGTAAAACAAATCAAGTTATTTATTTACATATCAGTTAAGTACATAATATTTTCATGTAGATAATACTTAAATACATGACGTGTGTTTATAATTTGGATAATATTAAAACAAAACAATGCATAAAGATTCCTTCTCAGATTTAAGAATAAGAATGTTAGCTTTAAAATAAAAAATACATTGTAGATTAATAAAATTACATACAAATAATAAAAAGGAACAAGTCTTATTTAAAGTTTTTGCGAACGTTGACGGGCGTCGATGACGTCAATATTTTCGCGCGATTTTTGGTTACGCAGTGATATTCCAAATTGTCAAATTATTTTGATTTTCAACCATGACTACTACTGCAAAAGAATTGAAATGTAATTTGTTCCCAAACTTACTAAACTCTTTGATTAAATAACAATAAATGATTTTTGAGGAAGGTTAATAAGATGGCGTTCACAACAACTTTTTTTCTTATTTTTTTAATTGTTTTTTTTATGTCGCAGGCAGCCAGTTATTATGTAACGAGATTTGGCTTCGAGCCTTTGGCATATAGTGGATTGGAGACTGGTTCAAGAAAAATAGCTTCATATGCCGTCAGATTGAATAAGGTAAACAAGTATTATGATTAGACTGGTAGAATGGACGAGCCTTTGTATGAATTTATTAGTGCGAAATACTTACTGGTTTATTTATAACATTTATTGTTTTTGCGTTGTTACGAGATTAATTATTTATCGATGTGAGAAGATAATGTTTTGTTGTGGTTTTCTGTTTTGAGCTTATATTTTTTTCAATCAAATGAATTGGAGTGAGTATCTCCATATTACTATACGACCTTGCTTTAATCTTGCTAAAAAAGATCGGAAAATCAAGTTGCCATTGTGCAAACACTAACTAATACCTTGTAGCTAACTACTTTATCTATCTGAACACACCTTATCAACATTGGTTTATTAGTTTAGGCCTTTTGGAGGCACAAACTGTCTCTCATACTCATAAATCTAAGATATTTTTACTACACAGGTTTCCCCACTCTAGGATATACTCCCATGTGGATTCTCTAGGGTGCCGTTAAATAATTAACATGTACACCCAGATCTAGAGGTAGTGTATACATACAATGGTCATAATTCAATTCCTATTTAATTTTCCACAGATAGTCTTCGTATTACAAGCACAATATGAACCTGAAGAAACAGATTTCGCAAACGAAGTTGCGTACCACGGCGACTTCGTAAAGGATGTGGCATTCCAGGTGGAAAACCTGGACTATATCCTGGAGTACGCCAGGAAACAGGGAGCCGTGGTCGTAAAGGATTTGTGGCAGGAGGAAGATGAATTTGGAGTGGTCAGGATGGCTACTGTGAAGACGGTAAGCATATGTGGAGAATAGATGTTATTAGATTTAGAATAATGAGTTGGCTGCCTTATTGATTGAATCCTTGCAAGTTCTACTGGTCGAAAATATGTTTCTTCACATTACCATGTTCAGATCGTAAGTATTTTTTTTCTTTTCGATTAGTGAGGGGTTTTAAACCACAAACTCAACTGAATTTGGAGGAATCCGTAGGTACCTAAATTAGTTACTGTTCAAATTAACGTTAACACAGCTTTACAATTTAACAACAACCATAAAATTTTGGGTAAGTGTCAACGTCTTCTTTATAATAACTGCTTCTCACCAAGACAAAGTTGAGCTTGTTTGCCACATTTAAAGTGCATAAAACATTTTAACTCGTCGAGTACCGGTTTTATAGACACAATTAAAGAACAATAGGTCGCGGTCACCGGTGACCGCTTGGTGTTTGACAGTTTAAATCATCTAATAATGCTCTTGTTCACAGTACGGAGACAACACCCACACACTGGTGGACAGGTCCAAATATCGCGGACCCTTCCTCCCAGGATACCAGCTGTTGAACAGTGACCCTATCAACAAATTCCTGTAAGTTACAGTTGATATTAAATCTGTATTTGCAGTTTAATACACTTTGAAAGTGTCCAAAGTACCTAGATATCCAATTACGATAAAATGCTAAAGGTAACAAAGAAAGAAAAAATGAGAAACTTTATTTCACGCTAAAACCAGTGACATGTACAGTGTTATTCTATTGGTAGTTAATAGGTAATCAGAAATCAATTTTATTATCTTCGTTTTACTATTATTAAATCATTTATATGCAGGTTTGTTGAAATGTACATCTAGTTGAAGTTCATGAAGCTCTTAAGATATTAGGGTAAAATGGGGTGGATGGGGTTTGAACGGCGAAAAAGGACAGAAGAGGGGTGAATCGATACTATAAAGAATTTCCTTATATCTATTCACCCCCCTTCTGTCTCTGTTCACCTCTCGATCCCTCTTCATCCCATTTTACGGTACTATGAATTTATTTAGCAAATAGGTAATCAAAAAATTAGTTTAGATAATTTAATAAACAATCATAAAACACTTACCTATTAAATGTTTCTGCCACAGACCAAACGTGGAGATCAACTTCATAGACCACGTAGTGGGCAACCAACCAGACGGAGGAATGGAGGAGGCGGCCTCCTGGTACGAGAGGTGTCTGCAGTTCCACAGGTAATACACAAGCAAACTGTTTCTAAAAATCAAACGAAACCGACGTATTGCGCGTACTTTTGATTTGAATTGCGGCGAAATCAAAATTGAATGGTATATTGACCGAGGCAGAGTAGGTACTGAGAATTTTGTTCCGCTTGTCCACTACCATTCATGGATCAATTCATGATCATGATATTAAGTGTGGGAGAGCCATGCTTAGGCACAAATGGGCCGGCTCGACCGAAGTGATAGGTACCACGGCCTCACAGAAACAGAATTCCAACGTGAAGCAACGCTTGCGTTGTGTTTCGTCGTGTGAGTGAGGTTACCGGAGGCCCAATTACCCTCCTCCGCAATCCCCGAATCCCCAACAATTCTCAAATTGCAAATCCCCAAAAGGCCGGTAACACCCTTGGTTTTCCGAGTGTCCATGGGCGACACCGATTGCTTACCGTCTTATCAAGTGATCCGTCTGCTCATTTGCCGGCTTATCCCATAAAAAATAAACTAACTAGATAGCCTACCTACTCATTGAGAATACTGCTTATGATTTCTAAATCAAGAAACCCAATCATATGGTCCTGATCAAGTAGGTACCTACTATATCAAGAAGAGAAAGTCTTCGTTTCTTTTGTTCGTAAATATCAAGCATATCATGCATAGACAACGAAATGGAAAATAGTAATCAATCTTCTTCTATACTAACTTATCAAACTATCCCTTTCAAGATTCTGGTCGGTGGACGACAAGCAGATCTGTACAGAGTATTCAGCTCTTCGGTCCATTGTGATGGCCAATTGGGAGGAGACGGTGAAGATGCCCATCAACGAGCCAGCGACTGGCAAGAGGAAGAGTCAGATCCAGGAGTACGTGGAGTACCACGGCGGAGCTGGAGTGCAGCATATTGCTATTAACACTGAGGATATTATTACTGCTGTAAGTTGGGTTTTTTAAGTGGCGTTTTTGGTTCATCTGAAATACATACCTGGGTGCTTACTCTTGAATCCAATTCCGGTCCATCGACATTGATATTGTGAAATTTCGTACTCTTAAGTTGCAACACTGCATGGCAACCATTGCATCCGTATTGCGCGGATATTAAATGAACTAAATGGTATTGAGTTTGGCTTTATATGTCGTACTCTGAATGTTATAAACAGTTAAGATTAGGTTTGTATAGTTTTGACATTGAATAATTGTTGAGATTTTATTGGATTGAAATTGCATTGACTTTGATATTGGTATCAAAAGTAACCATCCTGATCTTTGACCTCAAATTGTATCCAGCAAGCAGTCCTATAGTAAAATTACCACAGCAAAAAATGTTTGTATAAGGTTTAGTTCTTTATAACCCAATATAATGATGAGGACCATTAGCCCATCATCTAATTGGGAACTGTTGGAAGACCACGGAGAGATAATACTTAACAAAAGAACTGAAGGACCATTGTTTTTGTTACTGTGGTATTGGCCTATTTTCGAAATAACCGTTCTAGGTCCTGCATTTTTTTTTACGCCAAAAGCCACATGCTTTAGTTGCAAGAGGCAATCATATATTTTAACAAGCAATTCTTATTTTCCAGATTGAAAACCTCCGTGCTCGCGGTGTAGAATTCCTCTCCATACCTTCGAAATACTACAAGCTGATCCGTGAACGTCTCCAAAATAGTAAAGTGAAGGTGGCTGAAAGTATAGACGAGTTGGAGAGGCTGAACATCCTGATAGACTATGACGATGATGGCTACCTACTCCAGATCTTCACCAAGAACACTCAGGACAGACCTACCCTTTTCCTGGAAGTTATTCAGAGGAGAAATCATAATGTAAGTACCTAATATTTTTCCAGAAGATTCTTAGAAAAAATAAAATTATTGAGTTTGGCAACACATGACGGCGACCATTTAAAAACAAAATTTCTTTTTTTTAAACATGTTGAATTGGATAAACAAGTAAGGCTGAAAATAACTTTTTAAAATCATTTTATTATGAGCAAAGTCTAATGAATAAAATTTCATTACGATCAGCTGTTGCGTAGCGTTTTGTTGTTTTACTACCAGTTGTGTTAAAAGTGTTTGACTACCTCGTTGGCCGAGTGGTCGCAATAGCGAATGCTGGACAAGGGGTCTCGGGTTCGATTCCCAGGTCGGGCAAAGTATTACTGGGTTTTAAAAAAATTCTCAGCAGTAGCACGGAGTCTGGAATTGTGCCCGGTATATGGCAATAGGCTCACCCCCTATTACATGGGACTCATAATATAAATAGTGAAACGTGGGTGTTACATTGTACAGTGGTATAATGTGCACCTCTGCCTACCTCTTCGGGGCTAAAAGGCGCGATGTTAATTGTGTTTTGTTTATACTCTACGAAAGAACTTTAGACAGAATTTTAGATAGTAGATATTCTAAACGCTAACACTTAGTGTGATCCACATTGTTGTTTCGGGTCTGGGTTCATGCGTATGTGAACTTGTATGTTTGTAAACGCACCCACGACACAAGAAAAAAACTTAGTATAGGTCAACTTTTTTTTAACAAAAAAGGAAAATCTATTCTGCCAAGCGGTAACCAATATTTTTTTTACAGGGATTTGGCGCTGGCAACTTCAAGACACTATTCGAATCTATCGAGTTGGAACAAGAAAAGCGCGGGAATCTATAAACTGATTACTTACGTAGGAAATATTATTTTGTACTCCTTGTTTGCCATATTACATTAGTATATAGCATACAATATGTTTTTATTTCATTTTCGATAAAAATAAAAAAAAAGAACAACAAAATACTCCTCGGATTGTGCCATAAACAATTATGGTACTATAGATTTGATTTTTTTTAAACATATTGTATGCAAATTTAATTCTATTTTTAATCTTGTATTTACTATTATAAGACGAACAATGTTAACTTGTTAAGATGTTAAATGTAAATAAAAAACACATTTGAAAAGAGTATCATTTATTGAAATACCATTGATTAACATGATACAGCTCGTTTGAACGCCTATATCACGAGCCTATGTATATTTACAAAACACATGAATCCGTGAAAAAACAAATGCACATAAAATCGAAAATGTCGCGTAAATTCGATACGCGAAAAATAAATATTAATATTCCATTATTCACAAATTTGTAGACAGCACCAAAATATTTAAAAGCCGGATGGACCGGTTTGATAAACGAAAATAATTCTTATGGCATTCATTAGTAATTTTAATTTTTAATAATTTTTACGCGATTTTTAACCTTATTACTAAGTTGATTATGTGTCATAAGACTAAACGTTTGATTGACTTGCTCGATTGAATTTAAAGTTGATATTCGTGAAATTTTTGTATGAAATGTGAAAATATGTTTAAGTGAATGCGGAAGACTATCTAGGGCTTCTAGAATTCTAAAGGAATGTATTGTAATGACAGTGATAACCTAATTTAGTTCTTAATACAGCACAATAAATATCATTTTCGTATATCAATCCGTCACAATAGTTCCGAATCACAAAACCCGACGGACATACATAGATAACAAACGTTAATAAAATGTATGCAAAAGTAAAACATAATTGCATAAATACGGCGTAATTACACCCTTTATATACCAGCCGAATATTGACGAAGTTTGCCGAAAGACTTCGGAAATTTTCGCCACGACACTTCGGGTTGCGTTCGAGTGGAAACGACAAGCTTCGGCAACACTCGGCATGAGATTAGGGCGAATTCATACTAGCGTAGAACTGAAGCTATAATTTGAAATACCACATAGCAAATTGACTCATAATATGTGCAACGTAAAGCACATATTCCTTCAGATTTAAAACTAGCGAATTCCGCCAAATACTCGCGAATTCGAATCGAAGTCTTGTTGAAGGAATATGTTTCTTATTATACGCAGATAACGTTAACTTTACAGTGACTTTTGAGATAACGCTTCAACTCTGCGCTAGTAAGATTGAATTAGGATGACAATTTAATTATAATTCGTCTAAAATCCTTTACGTCACAAATCTCTTTGATTTATGATAACTACATTCACATTTATCATTCGTCCTCAGTTATTCGCTAACAAAACATGAATGATACAATGCAAATCAAGATTTTTAATACATGACTGATTTCCATAACTAAATTATATAATTTTGAGCTTGCGTCGTGTGTAAGCCGGTAATACTAAGTTAATTATTATAAAAAATGTGTTATATCTTCGTGATAGTTAATAAAATCAGTCATTTGCAAGTCAATTAATGTTCCACTTCAGATCTCTTTACAATATTTGGTATTACCACAGATTTTTACTGCAAATGGTATTTTAAATGGGAATTTAAATGCTAAAAATAGCATGTATATTATATGGCGTAGATTTAGCGGAATTTATCGAGTGAAGCTGAACAACTGAGGTTCCTAATTGTAACTATCTGCGTTAAAAAGCTACAACTCCGCTAAATCCAGCGTTCCCCCGAATGTTTGTGAAACTATTAGCAATTTTACATCACTAACCAAAAATGCGTTATTCGCTTATTGTAGCGCACATCTTAAATTGGATAAGTGAATACTCGTACACAAATACTCGGAATTTAACCTAACGTAACCTAACTGTCTACAGTCTCTGGTAAATGAGTATCACGTGGGTACATTTATAAGGTAATAAGGAATAAAAATAATAAATTAATGTATGTATAAAGTAATTTATTTAAATTAATTATTATCATCATCGAATCACCGTCTACGTTTCGAGTATGGAAGACAAAACATATAAAGACGTCACGAAATTCTGCGTAAGCACATAATTACGATTTTAAACAAACAAAAAATAAAACTAGAGCTCAAATAAATCATAATAAAATTATAATATCATGAAATTATTACATAATCAGATTTAAATAGTCGAGTTTTTACATACACGAATTTGAAATAACCGATCAGAAGTTTGCGCAACTTTGCGCATGTTTGCGCTGTTTTGCGCAAATCCCTTGTCTGAACCATACAAACGTACCCACAGTGATCTCATGCATTCCTCTCTTACGCGTTATCATCTCGGTCTGGCTCTAGATCTGCTGGCTCTACTATCTCAAAGTCCCTATCCGTGGAGGAACGTTGACTGTTTTCAGATTCGGACTCCGATTGTTTGTCTGCTGGAGGCGTTGGTGTTTCTAATTCAGATCTGAAAAGAGACGGAGATAATTAAATCTTTTGTTCGATTATTTTCAATTAGACGAACATCTTAATTATTTTATAAAGTAATATCAGACACTGAAAATGAGGTTATTCGATTCATGATCGAGTTAAGATTCTATTGCTCGTAAATTGAAACGCTACTCAAACTTAAGTCGCGCTTAAGTATAGTTCTGTCACTACAAATTCTTAGTAAAGTGACAGAGATGGCACGAATATTTAAGTACGACTTAAATTTAAGTAGGCTTTCAGTATTCGGGCGTATGAGCGTTAATGGAACATTGTGGTTTACTAACGTGTAGCTGTTAATCAAATTTTAAAATTACAAGCCGTGAATAGAGAAGCTTTTTTCGTATACACGTTATAAATGGGACAATGGCGCCAAAATTCACAGATCGTCATTCATCCTTACTAATATTATAAATTGGAAAGTGAGTTTGTTTGTTTGTTCCGCTTTCACGCCGTAACTACTAAACCGATTGCTTTGAATTTTTGCACACGTTAGAAGTCTGGATTAAATAATAGGGTACTCTTTATCCCGGAAAAATTTGATATTCCCGAGGGAAAACAAAAGTATTGGTATAGAAAATAGATGGCGCTGTGTGTATTGTTATATGTCACATAGGCTACTTTTTACCTTTTGTGACGCGAGCGAAGCCGCGGGTAAAAGCTAATGTAATATAATGTATAAACTTACTTGGTGTCAATAGCAGCATCGTCACTGGTAGTGACGGCAGTGTGAGCAGTGCTGGTTCCCTCGCTGGCTTCCTCACTCGCCTTCTCCTCCAGCAATGGCGTCTTCTCACTCTCATCATCAGACAACTTGTCTTTCTTCCGTTTCTTCTTATTCTTGGACGATTTGTCCGAGTCTGCACCCGGGCGGTACTCGTACTGTAATGTTTTAATAGATTATATTAGGAAACGTTTCTTGTATAAAAACTTCTGCATATCTGTTATCCCCTAAAAGGCAGTTGTCTTTTACCAAAGATAAGGCATTCATTTCGGAATGACAACATTGTAGGCACAATATTTAATACAAGACATTAAATGGGTTGAATTGAATAAAGCTTACGAATTTAAATAAAACTGAACGTAACTATAAATATTATTTATTGAGGGGGAAAATCATCAAACGACTCTTCCCGCCTTGGGTGAGTTGAGCCAGACTTTTACTGACTAAAACCACGCCATTACAACTCCCGCTTCGATTCAATAGCTGTTGTATAGTTTTAAGGAAAAAGAAAAAAACTAGGTGTACAAATTATAAAAAAATTCAGCTCAATCGGAAAATTTACCTTTATCATGCAATATTCGATTACAAACAACTAGACAACGGCTGAGGTGAACCAAAATAACATAATATAACATAGCTTGTAAAAACCAGGAGACCCAATTACCCTCCCCGATCTCCCTTAACCCCAAATCCTCAAATTCCTAACCCCTAAAAGGCCGATAAAGCACCTGTCACGTCTCTGGTGCTTCAGATGTCTATGGGCGGCGCCGATTGCTTACTATGGTGATCCGTCAGCTCGTTTCCCAGCTTATCCCATTAAAAACAAATTGGTTGCCTGTAAAGTCGGTATACGGGCGAAAGTTTTACGTGACAACGACTTTGAGTGGTAAAATGACGCGGGCCTTTCACTTTTTATGTCTGTCTCTCTCGCTCTTAGGCGGGCTAACCATGCCCGAGTGGAAGGGACGCGTGCCTCTCACTCGCTCTCATTGTGAGCGGTGCGTAACGCAGTTTCTTGAAGTGTCACCCGGCAAACCAATTTATAAGACGTTGTCACGTCAAAATAAACCAACTTACTTTATACAGCGGCCAGAATGAAGCGAAGAATCCGACATCTTCAGTGAGGTTGGGGAGTAGCCAGAGATGGTGTCTTGACAGGGTCAGCATCCAAACGAGGCAGAATACCACCACTCTTAGCACGGTCAAACCTATGATCGTGACAAGGAAACCGGCGGCCGCGATACTCAGGTAATAAACCCCTTTACTGTGAAGATAATCCCTGATTTATATTTATGATGTAACCCGATAGTTGGCGAAAAGGGGGTGCTATATTTTATTTATACAAAAAATAAGTTTTAACTACGTGTGAATTTATGTCAAGTCTCATTTTCTGTTCTTTCTTTCTTTTAGAATGATTTTCTTTGAGAATTATTAATAGTGGGGAATATTTGATCCGAGATTTATTTTTAAATTTTTAATTAACTGTTTTTTTAAATAAATTGTGATCAATAAAACTTACACTTAAATATTTCAATGAGAATTATAGTCATAAAATGTACGAGAACCTGGTTTGGATCTCGACTTTGATCAGCCTGTTTTTATGGCACATAAAGACTACATACAAAACAAAACAAAAACCCCATTCATAAAAAAAAAACAAAGACAAAGAACAGAAAAGAAAAAACATTAAAAAACGAAACAAAAATTAAAAAAATGTACTAAAAAAAAAAATATTTGACGAACAAAAAATAGACTGTTTCCTAATTAAAATAAAGTATAAATCCTTACCGCACTGTAGCTGGCCACAAGGGGAACATACAAACGGTGATAGTCCCAACAACTACCAGTATACCACACAGCCAATAGTACCAGGGTTTCGGATCGTAGATCCAGACATACGCGTCAAGAGTGTCCAAAAATACTTGATCCATGTGCATCTCTAGGCGAATTTTCCGCTTCTTTTTTTCTTTTTCTTTTGTATCTTTTGAGTCCTGGAAATAAGATAATATAACATCATCACGCCTTTTATCCCCGAAGGAGTAGCAGAGGTACACACAATGCCACTGTACAATGTAACACCCACTATTCACTATTTATGTTATGAGTCCCATGTAATAGGTGGTGAGCCTATTGCCATATACCGGGCATGTGTCCAGAATACGTGCTACTACTGAGAAATTAAAAAAAAACCCAGTACTACTTTGCTCTACACGGTAATCGAACCCGAGACCCTTTGCCCAGCAGTCGCATTTACGACCACTCGGCCAACGAGGCAGTCTGATAAATCTGATCAGTGCCTTTAGCCAAAAGCCACTTTAGCGCTTGTCTACAGAGAGAGTAGAAATCAAAATGTATGGGGATGACACTGACAAGTGTCAAAATTTAAGTCAATCCCATATAATTTGGTTTTCTATTCTACATGTAGACAAGCGCTGAATGGTATTTGGCTACAGCTGCTGGGTCTTTAGCCAAACGCCACTTTAGCGCTTGTCTACAGAGAGAGTAGAAAACTAAATGTATGGGGATGATACTGACAAGTGTCAAAATTTACGTCAATCCCATATAATTTGGTTTTCTATTCTACACGTAGACAATCGCTAAATGGCATTTGGCTACAGCTGCTGGATATTATGGCCAACCTTTCTTTTGTACAGGAAGCTCACAGAGTAGTCTTTGTTGCTGTTTTACAACAGTTAGTTCATAGTAAAGGCCTATTATTTCCTTTAATAATAATTACGTGGCTTCTCTTACCTTTCCTTCACAAGCGCTGGCCTGACTCTTCTCACCATCTTTCTCATCTCCACTTTTGCTTGATTTTTCCAAGTCTTTCTTTTTAGATTTTCCCTTTAATTCTTGTTCTGTAACCGGAACCTGAAATAAGATAAGATTCATTTATTTGTCTTAAATACGATGTTTTACAGATTTTACAGCATAATAGTTTTCCCGCCTACAAAAATATGCAAATATTTTAACAATAAGTACCCAAACATATGATTCAAAAACAAAACAAAATAACTAAAGTAAAATTTCTGATAGGTAATCATTCTAAGTTAGAACAAAACAAATTAAGTTACAATTTCCAATAATCACTCCAAATCAAAATAAAAAATTAAGGTTAAACTAGTCGCGGGCTCGAACTCAATCAAGGGCGTGGCCAAAAAGCGCGCTGTCTCATCTAACATCGTGTGCGACAGAAATAGTACCAGTGATGAGCAGTTAGACGCTATCTATTTGCACGACGTATTGTTCGCACGCACACAAACACAGCAAAACGTCACTGAACGGTGCATATATCTGTGCTGTGTGTGTTTACTCGTAGTAAAGTCGTACGCGCTGCTACGATTTTATGATGCTCGCATGAATTTTAGTAATTATTGTCACAGGGCATTGTAATTACTGAATTTTTTATTTTTTTATGATAAGTTGATAACACAATATCCGAAGAATCTACGAAAGGCTAGGGATATAATTCTGTAGGTAAACAGTTACTTTTTTTTTAAGTACCAATAACTTTATGTACCTACTAAACCTAATAGGTACCTACAATATTTGTTGTATTTGTTTAGTTTTCGTAAAAGTAGGTAATTAGGTACCTAAAAGTATGTTTACTTGCTAAAAATAAAGTAAGAAACGTAATAAAAAGTATAGTTGACAACCCCAATCGAGTTCTCACGGAGCGCGATAGCCACAAAATAAAAAGGTACCTAGTTAGTTCTATGGTATAACTACATACAAAGCGCGCTCGAGCACGTAGGTATAAACAGTGAAGCAGGTACATACCTACATGAGATTGACTTCTGTACCTATGTATTTTGTGCGAAAACATTCGGCTTGGCGATTGCCCGTTGATATTATCAATATTCCTACTTGCGGTAATCTACAACAATTATAAAGAGCTGAGTAAAGTTGTTTATATAAGCATGATCATTTCTTCTGTCTGGGTGTTTTTATCTAAGTAATTATAATAATATGGAAATATTTAGAAATATACCTCTAAGTACCTATGTATATCTGTTGTCTAGTAGGTACCTACACATAACACAAGCTCTGCTTAGTTTGGGACTGGACAGCGTAGGTACAGAGTTGTGTGATATTGTGGAATATTATTATTATATTATTATTACTTAGGTATTATTTAGGAAGGATGGCTAAAAAAGCATAGGTACCGTAGGTACGTAAACGTAGTGTACCTGCTAGTAAAATATCAATTCGGTCCAGCCGAATTGAACATTGACCTGAACAAATAGAAAGACAGACAGACGGAAAAATAAATAGGAAAAATACAAAAAAATAAATTAAAAATGGGTTTAAAAACTATTTATTTGTTTTTTCTGTCTATCTGTCTTTCTGTTTGTTATACGTAGGTACCTATGTCCAAAGGAATAAGTAGTTTTTTTTTTACGTACTTATCGTGCAAATAGCCGTGTGAGTATGAAAAAATCTATGTAGGGAGGTACCTATTTTAATATTTGGTACAAACTGACACTGCAATTATTTACATTGTTTAGTATAGGTATAAGTATCGATTTTACGATAAATAATATAAGTATCGTACACCTCGCACTATAATACCTACGGACAGTTTACTTACAAGCTTTTATATAGGTAGGTAGGTACTTACTCGTGGCTTCGTTGATAACTAACAATTATATTTTTGTTCAACTTACGTACCGCGAATAATACCTTAGTACCTACCTACCTAATAAATAGGGTACGATCGTGTCATCGTATAAAGGACATCTTGTGTAGGTATAGACCTACTCCTATCCTACCTATCGACACCACACCACCGCACCGGTCGCAAAGCTCCAGTCGTAAGATGAGGGTAAGGAGAATAGTCTACATATACGATACAAACCACGTAGGCCACAGCAGCAGACTAAGTCGACCGAGTCCAAAACAAAAAAATAAAAACTGCGTTTAAAAAACCGACTTCAAAAAACCAAAAACTAATAACAAACAAAAAGTCTAAACTAAAAAGCAAAAAATAACTATTATTAGTACTGATAGGTTACCCACCCACTGATAGGTAAGAAGTCGGTGCCATAAGTTCCATACAAAATTATTCATTAAAACCTTAATAGGTACCTAATTCATAATTTTGTGGACAGTTATATCATTATGATATGAGCTTATGGCACCGACTTCTAACCTATCAGTGGGTGGGTAACCTATCAGTACTAATAATAGTTATTTTTTGCTTTTTAGTTTAGACTTTTTGTTTGTTATTAGTTTTTGGTTTTTTGAAGTCGGTTTTTTAAACGCAGTTTTTATTTTATTATTTTATCATTTTCAGTGTAAAGCTACATATACCCGTTTTGTTACTTATAATCTACATAGGTGCAAAGTTCTAATCAATACAAATTATACAAGCCTAAACACAAGGTAGTTACAGTATACCGTTGAGGAGTTCCCTTAACAATTACACTTCTTCATCATCAGACCCTTAATGACAGCCCTACTCTATCTAGGTGTAAAGTCCTCATCAAAACAAATTAATCAAGCCCAAACACAAGGTAGTTACTGTACACCGTTGAGGAGTTCCCTTAGCAATTACACTTCTTCATCATCAGACCTTTAATGACAGCCCCACTCTATCTAGGTGTAAAGTCCTCATCAATACATTTGTATTGATGAGGACTTAATCAATTAATCAAGCCCAAACACAAGGTAGTTAGTATAAACCGCTGAGAAGTTCCCTCGACTGTCTATCGGCTCCATCATCAGGTCGACTCCAGACCCATATCAAATTGTAGTGTTTAAAAATCCTAATTGAAAAACATAATAGACGCATCACTCGCCCATATAATTTTCGAAAGTTCCCCTCGGTTTCCCTAGAATCCCATCATCAGATCCTGACCTCATGGAAATGGGACCATCTTGGGAGTATACCCTTTCCAACAAAACAAAAATTTTGCAAATCGCTTCACGCATCTCAGAGTTATGCGCGTACATACATACAAAAAAAAAAAAAGCAACATACCAGCCGAACGTATAACCTCCTCCTTTTTTGAAGTCGGTTAAAAACAATAGAAAATAGTCTAATGGTTTGCACGACACGCGCTGTCGTGCAAAAAATTGTGCAAAAACGCGTGAGCGTCTTCCCTCCGCCCCGCGCCGCTGCCGGGGGAATTTTATCAAATGAAATGCACGATAATTCATCGTAAAACGAGTGCGTATAAAACTACGATTTAGTGCTTTAGAAAATAGCGATTTTTGAAAAAACCACTGCTTAGATCAATTTGAAATAAATTTTATAGAACTCTCTGGTAATTGTGCTGTGTCGGTACGGTCTACGTTTTGGAGATTTTACACGATTAGTGGTACTTTTTAACACCCAAAGTTTCGTCAAAATTGTCATGAAAAACAAAACTTTGGTGGCTCATAACTTTTTAATCGTTATTTTTTATTTTATTTTGTTTCCGTACCGACAAATGTAATTACAAGATAAAACGTTGTCGTGTTTAATTTTGGAGATACAAATTCACACTGTGGAGTAATACCGCCCCGAACTTTCTATGGAAAAAATATCGACTAGTGTAACCTTAAAATATAATGTTAGTAAATGAAGTTGGTTTATCAAGAATTGACAAATAGAAAAAAAAAACAAAATTACACTCTCCACAATAAAAAAAAAATTGATTTGAATTATAAATTGGCGCCAAATTACCTGTCAATTAAGTTCACCATTCAATCAAGAACGAATGAAATGAACGACTTTAACCCCAAACACGTGGTAGAAATTAATCAGTCATTTGTATTTCTCAATTTATTACGGACACGTAATATTTAGCTTCATTATCTTAGTGTTTATCAGTTTTATAACATTAAATACGAAACTATATCAAGGTCAGACTATTGTAAAACGTAGTTCAAGCAACAATGTTCTAAGTTCAATCTTATATTTCGTGTAGGAATTAAAGGCGTTTTATCTTTGAAATTTAATTGTAATCTTAAGTATCTGTGTATAATATTGTATTGAATTAGATTTTTTTGTCAAATTTATGTTGAATTGTACTTGATTTGTTGGTGTGAGTTTTTTTCGAATCATGAGAGTGTAGAAAAGCTTTTCAATGAGATGTTTAATGCATTTATATACTTCTTAAACCTACAACTAGATTAGATGCCCACGCCCATGGATACCCAAAACACCAGAGGCGTTATAAGTGCGTTACCATACTTTTGGGGATTAAGAATTTGAGGATTTAGGGATTGGGGAGGGGAGTAATTGGGCCTCTAGTAACCTCACTCACAGGACGAAACACAACGCAAGTGTTGTTTTACGTCGGTTTTCTGGGAGACCGTGGCATCACTCCGGTCGAGCCGGCCCATTCGTACCGAAGCTTGGCTCTCCCACACCTTAAAGTTACGCCACTGGTTGGGAGTGCAGAGAAGGAAATAGGCAAAGAGTAAAGTACAAACCTTTTTAGCTCGGTGAAATAATTTGTGCAATAACATCTGGTGCAGGTAGTCTGTGACTTCATGTCTTGTGGTAAAAATTGGGTTTTTGCCAGTAGCCCATTTTGAAGTGAGAAGCGCGTCCACCGCTTTTGTCCCTGGAAAAATAAAATAAAAACTTGTTATTGATCCAAAAATACGAAGTTTTGTATTTTATTCAATGACGATGCATTTTCTAATTAGGGTAGTTCTAAATTAGTTTTAGACTTTAAAGTTACAGGCACGAAGCATGATTGTGGCTTGTGGCCACTCACAAAGAAATGTTACTTTTTTTATGGTAAAAGCCGGTAAACGAGCAGACGGATCACCTAATGGTAAGCAATCGGCGCCGCCCATGGACACCTGAAACACCGAGGCGTTACAAGTGCGTTACCGGCCTTTTGGGTATTGGGAATTTGAGGATTGTGGAGGATTCGGGAATTGGGGAGTCTGGGGAGGGCCTCCGGTAACCTCATTCACACAATGCAAGCGTTGTTTCAGTGGGTTTTCGGTCAAGCCGGCCCATTCGTGCCGAAGCATGGCTCTCCCACACTTTTACGAGTAACTTTCCAGTAAAGTCACAATCATGTCGGACTTGGGCGTAATTGGTCTGTTACAAATTCGATTTATTGCAAATTTTCGAGTGACACTAAAATCAAAATACTTTGCGCGCAAGCAAATAAAAGCGCACATATGGACTAAATCCATTATCAAACCCCAGTTGATCGGTCCATAAAAAACTTCATAGTACTCCATTGAGCAAAACCAATACTAAGTCGATTACAGATAAACCAACTATTATCAATCGATCGATAGTTCGAGAACATTTGAAGGCATTGTGCCGGTTGTGGGTCAATGACCTACTACAAAGAAAGTGTTATAGAATGCCTACGACAGACATTCTGACCTACATTCGCGAATTGATTCATAAAAACGTATTCTTCAAAGTTAATGTGCGTGTTTAAAGTGTAGTAAAATATGAGCTTAGTGAACAATAATGGATTTTGATCTTTAAAGAGATAAGTTAGGAGAATATTTAATGTGACAACTATTTTTCTTCAGGTATTTCATGAGTGCCATGTAAAACGTGGTCGTGGTGGCCCAGAGGTGGAGGCCCGATTCTCATGCATGACAGTGCAAGTCGAAACCCACGGCAAGTACCAATGTGACTTTTTGATTGGCGATTTCAAACTTATAATTAGTAATTATAAGCTCAGGTTTCCTCACGGTGTTTTCCTACACCGTTTGTCAGTGCCGTCAGTGGTGTCTAGATAATCTTAGGAAGTTCATATAACTCGGAAAAGTCATATTGGTACTTGCCGTGGGTGTCGACCTGCACTCTCATGCATGAGAAGCGGGCGTCTAAAACCTCCGGGTCACCACGACCACGTTTTACATGGCACTCATAAAATACCTAAAGGAAAGTAGTTGTCACATTAAATATTCTCCTGACCAAGAAGGTCCATCCTTCTTGGACACAAAATTCCAAGTCTTTATATAGACAATAGAAAAACCTACGTTAAAATAAAACTTGAGGTACAGTATCATATCAAAACTTACTGGAGGTCATTAGAAATGTGAAATTTCATGAATTGTCCTATCTGATCGATGTATAATGCCCTCTGAAACGACCTTGAATGTCGACCGTGACCTTGAACGCTAAGGTCGGACAACAAAACGGGCAATTGATGGCCTCACGTAAATATTTCAATTGTTACTCTTATGAACGAATACTTTAGTGACAGGTTTATTTAGCTTTTATTTATATTTCACAATATTGACTGAAAGATCTCCCCAATTCCTAAATCCCCAACGATCCTCAAACTCCTAATCCCCAAAAGGCCGGTAACGCACTTGTAACGCCTCTGGTGTTCCAGGTGTCCATGGGCGACGCCGATTGCTTACCATCAGGTGATCCGTCTGCTCGTTTACCGGCTTATGCCATAAAAAAGAAGGCAATCAAGAAGAATGTATGATAGATGCAGATGGAACTTCTGTAGGTGTCTATGACATCCGATAGTCAAATAAAATACGTCATCAACATAACATAACATCACGCCTTTTATCCCCAAAGGGTACAATGTAACACCCACTTTCACTATGTTATGAGTCCTACGTAATAGGGGGTGAATCTATTGCCATATACGGGCACAATTCCAGACTTCGTGGTAGTACTGGTTTTTTTAACCCAGTAATACTTTGCCAACGGCCAACGAGGCAGTCATCAACAATCTATTAATAATAGTCTGCCGTTTCTGGGGTTTGTCAAAATCTGTTCAGGTACCACTCGGTACTGAACCACAACACTTCACTTTACTTCACTTCACTACTGGAAGACTCAAATAAAACAATTTCTTGCTTATGAGAGAACTTAACTTTATTCAAATAGCCAAGGGACCTATATAACGAGCGGAAAATCTTAACATCGCGATACACAAAAATGACGTCACTGCATAACTCCATCTATGGTGGACGAAGGAAAACAATACGCTTGTAGTTTTACTTTGGATGTGCTGCCATCTATGGTACAACGCGTGAAACACTAAGCTACTTGGCGTTGCATCGAATATGCTGCCATCTATTTTAAATGCGTATTTATATTTATGACTTAACATCCCGCCCACCATGGACAGATTGTCCATAACGTAACTTGTCAATAACAACACAATTGAGCAATATATAAAAAACTAAACAATTGTGACAAAAATAGTTGACAAACCGCCCACCGTGAAGCGATGGATCTACAAACATTTTACAATTGCTTACAACTAAAGATTTTGTTACAACAATTATTCGAACGTGGACTGTAAAATAAACTAACAAATTAAATTAGAATTTTATACATAACACAACTTTAATACAGACCAAGTTACACACCAAACGGCATAACAGTGTGAACATACATCAAATCCCTTGACATGAAAATACAAAAAATAAACAAACATAATTATACACAACACAAGAATATGCACAATACTCACAATATTTTACATATTATTCAAGTGGTAATGGGGAGTACAATTAACCTTGACACAGGTCTCTTAATAATTGTGTTGTCAATAACAACACAATTGAGCAATATATAAAAAACTAAACAATTGTGACAAAAATAGTTGACAAACCGCCCACCGTGAAGCGATGGATCTACAAACATTTTACAATTGCTTACAACTAAAGATTTTGTTACAACAATTATTCGAACGTGGACTGTAAAATAAACTAACAAATTAAATTAGAATTTTATACATAACACAACTTTAATACAGACCAAGTTACACACCAAACGGCATAACAGTGTGAACATACATCAAATCCCTTGACATGAAAATACAAAAAATAAACAAACATAATTATACACAACACAAGAATATGCACAATACTCACAATATTTTACATATTATTCAAGTGGTAATGGGGAGTACAATTAACCTTGACACAGGTCTCTTAATAATTGTCCCCTTACAGCGTAATGACACTACTCGTGTGACCTTGTCAGAGCCAGGATGTTTTTCGAGAATTAACCCGTGAAGCCATCTCGCGGGAGGCAGATCATCCTCCATAACTAACACTACATCACCTATTTTTGGTTCTACCTTGTGATGAGTCCATTTGTTCCTCTGATGGAACTGAACTAGATATTCCCGGGACCACTTGCGCCAGAAATCTTGAACCAAACGCTGTGTCAACTGCCATCTCCGTAAATTACTGATATTTGACGTATCAAAGTTCGAGTCAGGTGCAAGTAGCAGCGGCTCTCCTATCAAAAAATGTCCCGGAGTGAGAGGACATGGGTCCTCTGGATGACAACTTATGGCTGAAATTGGTCTGGAATTGAGGCATGCTTCGGTCTGAGCTAGTACTGTTGACATTTCCTCAAATGTAAGAGTGTTGTTTCCTACTACTCTTTTGAGGTGATGTTTGCAGGACTTCACTCCTGCCTCCCAAAGTCCCCCGAAGTTTGGCGAGTGAGGAGGGATGAAGTGCCAGGTTGTTCCGTTTGTTGCCAACCATTCCGAAATGTCAGCCTGTACACCAGATCGTTCGCGAGTGAATAACGATTGTAATTCTTTATTTGCTCCGACAAACGTAGTACCGTTGTCGCTCCACATTTCCTGACAATGACCTCTCCTAGCAGTAAACCGCTTAAAGGCAGCTAGAAAGGCCTGCGAGGTCATGTCACTCACAACCTCTAAGTGTATGGCCCGAGTGGCCATGCATATAAATAAACAAATGTAGCCCTTAGTGGCATGGTGACCGCGACCTTTAGTTGACCTGATACTAATAGGTCCTGCATAGTCAACACCACTTCTAAGGAAAGGTCGACTAGCGTTGACTCTAGCTGAAGGCAATGAACCCATTAATGGAGCTGCAGCCCGCGCAGAGTATCGCATGCACTTAACACATTTACGAACATATTGCCTAACAACTCGCTTTGCATTAATGATCCAATATTTGGATCTCAAATAGTTTAATACTAACTGAGGACCGCCATGCAATGTGCGCTCATGAGCGTCTGCGATCAATAGATTAGTTAAATGCGAATTATGAGGAATAATGATAGGATGCTTAGCATCTTCGTGAAGATTGGCTTTATGAAGTCTACCACCAACTCTTAGAAGTTGATCTTTGTCTATATAAGGATTGAGTGAGTTGAGCACCCCTGCCTTGTCTAATTTCCCCTTTGCTTTCAACATTTCAATTTCTGAAATGAAATGTTTCAGTTGACATAATCTTATGCACGTATGTAATGCCTCGTTAACTTCATTGTGTGTTAAAAAGTTATTGACCTCAATAGTCTTATTTTTATCCTTAAATTTTAAAAATCTTTTACAGTAGGCGATTACTCTAGTAAGTTTCCTCAAACTTGAATATTTATCTATAATAGAATCCCCGTCTGGTCCTTTCGTTACGACATTGCATGCTAGTACCCCTTTCTCTTCTAAGTTGGTTTCTTCGATCAACCTTCTGTTGTAGTTGATTTCAGCACTATGCAACCAACTAGGTCCCTGCGTCCATATTACTAAGTCTGCGCACTCGGAGGGATTTATGCCGCGCGAAGCGCAATCGGCGGGATTATCCTTAGACTGAACATGCGACCACTGATTACGGTCCATAAAAG